AAAACTTTGTGTCTCTAATTCAAAATTGAATATGAAAATTAGATAGATACATTCAAAAAAAAAAAAAAAAAGGAAGGTAGGAACCCAAATCTGGGTTCCACGAGAAACCTAGGTTCTGGGTTTCATGCGAAACCCAGATCTGGGCTCCTTGTGGGTTCCACGAGGAACCCAGGGTTCCCCAAGGAAGCTAGGATGATGAAGACAATGGCAAAGAGGTGTGAAGATGATGCTGAGGATGAGGAGGAGGATAAGGTGAGAAGAAAGAGGAAGATGAAAGAAATTAAAATTAGTTATGTTTAGGGTGAAGACAAGGATAGAAATGGGAAATGAAAAGACAAAAAGAAAATGATGATTTTTAAACAAAAATTATATTACAATCGATTAATTATATGGAAAATTTTTTTATCCACATCATCAATTTTTTTCCATGCGATATTCTATGAATTAACGTGTAATGACACGTTAACAATGAAAAGAAAAAAGACAAAATATTTAACAGATTATAATGTCACCATGTCACTTAACTGACAGAAAGATAAAAAAGGAGCCGGATTGTAAAATTTAGGGACTAAAAAGGGATTTTTTTCGGTATAAGGACAAAAAGAAACTTTTTCCAATAGTAGAGGGACCAAAAAGGGTATTTAACCTTTGGATTTTATTTGGTGGAATAATTATTAAAAATGAGGCCGGGCCGCAGATTGTGGGCCGCAATTACCGGGAATCCTTGCAAATAGTTTTCGTTTCTTATTTCATTTTATTTTATTTCCTTTGCGGAGGATTCTTGCCGTGTGTTTGCATAATAGAGTTCGGTGCGTGTATGCGGGGTAGGGTTATTGCTGATGCCGCCTGGGTTCTCAATTTCATAGCTGCGGCCAATGTAACAATTTTTTTTTTTTGAACAATTTTGCAAGGGGTCAGATAGAGGTGGGTAAAAATTGGTTTCGGTTAAAATTGAAACTGATTTTAAAATTATTGAAAATTTTTTTCTTTAATTTTAAGAATTGAAATCAAAATGAAATTTTACAAATTGATCGGTTTGATTACCAATAAAATCAGTTTAATTTCAATTTTTGATAAATAAATATTAATTAATTATTTTTTTAATAATAAATTATATTTTATAACATATTTTGTCATATTTTTGGTTTTCAAGGGGTTTAATTTCGGTTTCGATTGTTAAAAAGTTCAACCAAAATCAAACCAAAACTTATTCGGTTAACATCAAAACCAAAAAAATAAAAACCAAAAACCATTAAAACCGAACCGAATTCATTTTTTTTGTTCGATTTTCAAGTAACTTGTCTGTTTGGTTTTAAATGCTTAGCTCCATGGTCAGATTCGAACCGTTGCCTCAAGAAGAGAGATACAATTAAACGTGGTTTGATGTCACTAGACTTAAAGGTTCAAGTGTAATGTAACAATTTTGTTATTGAAATAATATATATATATATATATATATACACACATATAGATATGATAGTATAGGATAAGTTTTTTTTTTTTTAAATTATTTTAAAAAATAAGATTAAAATTTTATTTTTTAATTAATATTTCTAAAAATTAATTATTTGATTGAAAATTTTATTTGTATATATCATATATATTAATTTTTATATTAATATAACATTTATAATTTTGATAAAATTTTTTTATTTACTGATATCTATTTAATAATATTAAATTTTTTATGATAAATAAAATTGTTAGACTTAGTGAAATAATTTAAAAATTAATATGTATGATTTATATAAATAAAATTTTTAGCTCAATGTTTTTTTTATATTAATTAAAAAATAAATTTTCAAACATATTTTCTAAAAAAAATTTAGAAAGATGGCCTATGGAATACTTTTTTCATATATATATATATAGAAAATGGTGTAGGGTAAATTGCTTTTCGAAAATTTTTTTAGAGAACTTATCTAAAAATTTATTTTTTAATTAATATTTTCAAAAATCAATCGTTGGATTGAAAGTTTTATTTAACTAAATTATGCATGTCAATTTTTATATTAATTTAACACTTATAATCTTTTGATTAAGAGAACTTTATTTATGAACATATATTTAATGGTATTAAATATCTCACAATCAATGATATGGTTATACCTATTAGAACAATTTAAAAATTAGTATGTATCTATCAAAAAAAAAAAAAATTAGTATGTAAAATTTATATGAATAAAATTTTTAATTTAACAGTTAGTTTTAAAAATATTAATTAAAATATAAATTTTTAAAGAAAATAATCCTTATCTGCCTTATCTTCTAAAAATTAGGAGGAATTTTATTCCAAAATTACATCATTTTAATAAACATCTATTGAAAAAAACTTAAATATCTTATTTTTAAAGCATGAATTATAATGTTTTTATTTTTTTTCCTCTTAATTTTTTGGAAGTAAGGTAGATAAACATTGACCCAGATTTTAAATGTCTTTTAAAAGAATTTAAAAGTGCAATATCTAAAACACTTTTCTTATATATATTATACATCAAAAAATATAGTCTACCATTTTGAATTTATTATTATAAATATATATTTATAAACTACATATAAAATTTTCAAATAAAATCTAATAAACAAAAATTAAATATAAGCTAAACAATTAAACACATGACATAAAATAATATTAATGTTAAAACAACTAAATTTAGGAAGTGTTTAAAGGTAAGGGATAAATATGTACTAAATAGAAACTAGGTCATTACAAGAATTTAAAAAAAAACAAGAATTTTATTACAATTAATCTAAAAATAAAACCTTAAAATTTAAA